CAGAAATACTGATTGGTTATGATTACTTTTTCGACCTAAAGCCAAGCGTAAGTTTGAGAACGGATTCCAGTTAGTAAACACTGAAATTGGTCACATAATTGCGAGACAAGGAGCGCTGAAAGGAGTTAAGAATAGCTCAACTTCATGGTGTTCGGTAATCAACACTGTTACAGTCCTTCCTGTAACCAAAGCGGAAAACTCAATGGACATAGCACAGTTTTGGAAACTTGAGCTTCTGGGAATCAAGGAATCACCAAACGACGATGATGACGGACAAGCAATGCAACAGTTTCAAGAAAGCATTGGTAAAGAAGGTGAAAGATACAGCGTTGGATGGCCTTGGAGGAGTCCGGAAATTCAACTGACATCAAATTTCGGCCTCTGTTTTGGAAGACTAAAACCACCGTCAACAAACTTCGTACTCATTCCCAAGTGTTGAAGCTGTACAAAAACATAAAAAAAGAACAACTCAATCGAGGAATCATAGAAGAAGTAAACAATTACCAGGAATCAGCAGGAGTTATTCATTATCTGCCTCACCAAGCGGTCTTTTCACACCCATGAAAGAAACAACGAAAATTCGAATGGTATTTGATGCATCCGCAAAAACAAATATCCGGAAAAGTCTTAACGATCTGTTATACCGAGGACCTGTTTTGTTAAACGATCTAGTTGAAATTCTCCTTCGCTTCCGACCAATGGAAATCGCAATCATTTGCGACATTGAAAAGGTGTACCATCAGCTGGCACTTAATGAAAAGGATCAGGACGTCACTCGATTTCTATGGCTGAAGAATGTTGATGACCTGACTGAAGGAAAAAATTTGATCATATTTCCATTTCGACGTGTGCCCATCGGTGTTGTTTCATCAACGTTTCTATTAGCGGCAGGGATCAAGCATCATTTGCAATCAATGCCATCAAATGTAGCAAAGGAGCTGGAACGGAACTTGTATGTGGATAATGCTATCTTAGAAGCAGAGAACCCGCAGGAGGCGAACAGTAAGTGTAAAGAACTTAAGGAAATATTTAAGAAAGCGCAAATGAATATGCGCGAATTTCTTTCAAATCCGATTCAATTCAACAAGTCGATACCAGAATCCGATCGTAAAAAAGAACAATTAACGAAAGTGCTAGGAATTATGTGGAATTCAACCACCGATACGCTCTGCGTGAGATTACCAAACATAGAAGGAGAAGTAATGAAACGAAAAATCTTGCAAGGAATTGCATCAATCTTCGACCCATTGGGGCTGATCTCCCCTGCAATATTACCAGCCAAGGTCTTGCTTCAAAACTTCTGGAGAAAGAACTACCGTTGGGATGATAAAATAAATGCTGAAGAAGCCAGTGAATGGGAACGAATTATTAAGGAGTGGAAGAACGCCTGCATAGAAATACCAAGAAAAGCAGCAACAAAAAAAGATTTGAAGGAAATACATTTCTTCACTGATGTTTCACTGCATGCTTATGCTACAGCAGTATACGTGAGAAGTAGAAGTCAAAAGGAAACTAGCTGCTCACTGGTATTCGCAAAGACGCGACTATGCCCAGTCAAAGGGACAACGATCCCAAGAGCAGAGCTGTTAGCTGTATTAATCGGAATTCGTGCAATGCAATTCGTCAACAAGCAGTTGAATTTGCAAAATATTCCGGCATATTTGTGGACAGACTCTATGTGTGTGCTGAAGTGGATTCGTAACCATGCCAGAATGCAACCTCGATTCATTCAAAATCGATTAGAAGAAATTAGAAAGGCAAATATTCGATTCAAATATGTCTCTTCAAAGGATAATCCTGCGGACATCGCAAGCAGAGAGACACAAATCAACATGCTCAAAAAGGATGCACTGTGGTGATGCGGTCCAGCTTGGTTGTGCAAGGAAAAGTCAAAATGGCCCGATGTACCGGAACAGGAAGATTACAAATCAGATAAGGAAATAGAAGAAATCGAAGAAGATGAAAGCCATAATGGGCTAGTAGCAATCAACGTAAACAAAGAATAGCAAGATGGGGAACCACTAATCGACATCAAACGTTTCAGCAGCTGAAAGAAATTAGCTCGAACCGTCGTTCGTATTCTCAAGTTTGTGCAGAGAATTTCTAAGAAATCCTTACAATCAATTCAAGTTATTTCAAAAGGAAACGAAACAGTGGCGGCAGACTATTCACTAGCCGAACAGACTCTCTGCAGAGAAGCTCAAAAAGAAAAAATTCCTCCTCAGGAGCGCAAAAAATGGCAGCTGTTAAAAGATAATTGTGGTATTTTGAGATGTGGCGGACGATTGACTGAAGCGAATTTGCGGATTTCCACTATACATCCGATTTACTTACCAAAAAAGAGTTGGATTACCACGCTCATTATCAAAAATTTTCATGAAAAGCTACTGCACAGTGGGATCAATCAAACACTGGCGGAGCTGAGATTTTGGATCGAGAAGGGCAGAAGCACAGTAAAAAGAACCATCAAACGAGAATGCATGGAGTGCCGAAAATAGAGCCAGGAACCATTTCAATTGCCTTACTATCCGGCATATCCGGACGAACGATTGCAACGCAGTTGGGTGTTTGAAAATGTAGGGTTAGACTACTTCGGACCAGTTAACATCAGAACCTTGGGACCTGAGACGTCAACGAAGCGCTGGATTGCGCTATTTTGCTGCTTGAGCACTAGAGCAATTCATCTAGAAGTAGTAAAGGACTGAAGCGCAGAAGTCTTTTTGAATATTTTGCGGCGATTCATAGCTAGACGCGGAACATTCATAGCTAGATAGTTTTCAAAATGACGAGCGAGTTAATCGAAACTGCAAGAGAACCCGATGTAGAGGATTCAACACTGTTGGATTATTGCAGTGAAAGGGGAATCCAGTGGAAATTCATTACTCCACATGCACCGTGGCCAGGTGGAGTGTATGAAAAATTGATTGGGATTACAAAAACAGCATTCAAGCGCACGGTAGGACCACGTTTTCTAGACGAAAAAGAACTGGTCACAACAATTATCGAAATTGAAGCGATATTAAACTCAAGGCCACTAACGCAAATGGCCGAAGACTCAGTAGAAGCTCTTCAACCAATTGATTTCATCTCTCCGTTAGCACGAAATGGCAATCCGCTGAGAGCAGTCGAAATGGACATCGAGGAATATCATCTCGAAAGCAAACCTTCGACAAAAGAACTGCTGATGAAACAGTGGATCAGAAAAAACAAATGCTAAATCTCTTCTGGGGCTATTGGCAACGAAACTATCTTCTCAGCTTAAGAGAACGGTGGCAAAAGGAACACCAACAAGGACGAAGCCTCACGAGAAGAGAGCCGGAACTAAAGGAAGTTGTGGTAGACATGGATGAAAATCAACCGCGAGGCACATGGAAATTGGGCACTATCGAAGAAATAAAGCCAGGGAAAGAAGGAAGAATCAGAGCGGTCACCGTGCGAATGAGCAACAATCGAAAATGGACAAGACCAATCAACCAGCTAATTCCGCTTGAAGTAAAAAACGACGAATTGGACCTTGAGAGCCAGAAGAAAAACGAACTGCGGGCAGAAGAAGTGAAAACAAACGATGAAAAACAGTTACGACGAAGCGCCCGAACTGTCACTATAAAAAAGGGTGCAGCAATTGGATGTTGCCTGACGGCAAACATTCTCAAGTTCTTTTTGCTCGCAATAATTAGCGTAATGCTGGGCTGCGTAACTAAGGGAGAAGAAATTGGAAATTGAACAACTACGCAATGCTCTTAGTGTGATAGCTAGTCAGAGAAATAAAGAAGATAAATCACCAGAAATCCGAAAACATGGGTTCTCTTTGGAGGAACGAAGGCGAAACTGTGTGGGAAATAAGCAGCGACTGTCAATAGCTACAAAACAAATACAAGGCCAGCTGAATGCGATCGTAAACAATTGTAGACCATGGGCAATCGCGTTCTACTCGTAGGTGGCGCACAGATGACAGCACTGATTTGGGTTCCATTGTTGATACCGATATCTCAAATGGTGCGTCGGCACGCTTTTCAAATTCAGCAAACGATGCATACGAAACGACCGACGAGCTCAAAGACCAGTGAAGCTAGCACGGAATCGAAGAAACAAGAAATCCGGCGAAGCGTCGAGCCTCTCCCAGGGGATAGTTTATTTTCAAGACTCCGGAACGATTCGAGACGATGCGCGGTATTTCCAAGGAAACAGCGATACGGAGTGATGTCGCTTCCATGGTACGCACTCGCGAATCAATGGTGTATATATATACATGTGTATATATATATGTGTATATTCATATATATATACACCATATATATATAT